TGAAGAGCATTAAGATAAAGAATAAACAAGGGGGGAGTGCCTGGGTGGCTCAGTGGGTTAAAGCCTCTGCCTTCAACTCAGGTCGTGATCCCAGGGTCCTCGGATGGAGCCCCACATCAGGCTCTCTGCTCAGCAGGGAGCCTGCTTCCCCCCCCACCCCTCTGCCTGCCTCTCTGCCTACTTGTGATCTCTGTCAAATAAATAAATTAATTAATTAATCTTTTTTAAAAATTAAAAATAAAAAAGAACAAACAAGGAAGTAAGTTAAATACAAATATTAACACTAAAGTTTTAGTAAGGCTAGAAATTTTTCCAGGTACATATCATACAAAATTATATAAAAAGCTGGGGAAACTTGGGTGGCTCAGCTGGTTAAACGACTGCCTTCGGCTCAGGTCATGATCCTGGAGTCGCGGGATCGAGTTCCGCTTTGGGGTCCCAGCTCCATGGGGAGTCTGCTCCTCCCTCTGACCTTCCCCCTCTCATGATCTCTCTCACTCTCTCTCTCAAATAAATAGATAAAATTTTTTTTTTAAAGTTAAGAAGTCAAGTCACTATAAGAAAATTCAGTTCTTCCGCTGCTTCTCTTTCTCAAAGTGTGGCCTCCCGGCATCCACTCTGCAGATATCTGTCGGAAGTCCAGGCTCCTGGCCCCCACCTCGATAAACCCAAACCTGGAATCCTCATTTTTGAAACATGCCCCGCAAACTGGTAACGGGTGACTGTCTTCAAGGAGAACCGGGCGGTAAAAGTAAAAAATGGAAGTCTCACTTTACATCCTTTACAGTGTATGCCCTATACCCTTGGTATTTCAGAACACAAAACCCCCTTTGAATTTTCTGTACGTGCCTTATCCAATACCTCCAAAGAAAACAAAAACTCCAGCTGATTCTTAACTGCACTCAAGCTTGAGAACCACTGTTTTAGCCCAGTGGCCAGTAGGTACAACCAAAATGGCTGTCAGGAAGCAAAGGTATGTACACCTGCCAGAGAGCTGTGCGTCTCAAAAAGGCTTTTTATCTCCCAACTACTAACTTTTGTGTGCAAGCTACTTAACCTGAGTTTTAACATTCTGGTCTGCACAATTTACAATCAAGACTGTAGAGAGTAAGTGGATGCAACACATGTCAATCAGACTTCAATTAAAAAAGATTATGACCCAGTGCAGCTGTTTTCTGCCCAGGAATCCTGTCCCCATGCTTCAATAAAACCACTTTTTTGTACCCCCCAAAAAAGATTATGAGGATTAAGTAAAAATGTTATGCAAAATACTTTTTCTTAAAGATTTTATTTATTTGACAGAGATACAGCGAGAGAGGAATACAAGCAAGCAGAGTAGGAGAGGGAGAACCAGGCTTCCGCGGAGCAGGGAGCCTGATGCGGGGCCTCGATCCCAGCGCCCTTGGATCATGACCTGACACGAAGGCAGATGCTTAATGACTGAGCCACCCAGGTGCCCCTATGCAAAATACTTTAAAAGATGCCTATCCATAACAAGTACTCAATAACTGATGACGATGTTTCTCATAATGACTTTGAGACTCAAGCCAATTAGTTCCTACAAAGCATTGTTTCCCACCAGTATCCCAAAAGGGAGCCACCCTAGGGGAGATGTGGCTGTCACACCTTATTCTTTTTTTTTTATTAAAGATTTTTTTTTAATTTATTTATTTGACAGGGACAGATCACAAGTAGGCAGAGAGGCAGGCAGAGAGAGAGAGAGAGAGAGAGAGGGAAGCAGGCTCCCCGCTGAGCAGAGAGCCCGATGCGGGACTCGATCCCAGGACCCTGAGATCATGACCTGAGCGGAAGGCAGCGGCTTAACCCACTGAGCCACCCAGGCGCCCGTCACACCTTATTCTTAAGCCAACAAAGACTTTTATATTATTAGTGATCTTTAATTTGTGACGTCAGAAAATTCAGATCCAATTTCTGCAAGTCACTATATAATTGTTAAAACCAAAAGATCTGGGGGCACCTGAGTGGGGTCAGTTGCTTGAGCGTCTGGCTCTTGATTTTGGCTCAGGTCATGATCTCAGGGTCCTGGGATCCAGCCCCGCATTAGGCTCTGCATTCAGGGGTAAATCTCCTTTTCTCCCTCTTCCTCTGCCTCTTCTCTCCCCACATCCGCCCCCTATCCCATGCGTGCAAACGCTCTCTCAGATAAATAAATCTTTTTTAAAAACGGCATAAGAACTGGAGTTTGGTGACCTGTGTTCAAGTTCTCAGTCTACTACCAGTTGGCTGTTAAGACTCTGGTCCTTAGGGGAGCCTGGGTGGCTCAGTTGTTAAGCGTCTGCCTCTGGCTCAGGTCATGATCCCAGGGTCCTGGGATGGAGCCTGGCATCGGGCTCCCTGCCCAGCGAGAAGCCTGCTTCTCCCTCTCCTACTTCCCCTGCTTGTGTTCCCTCTCTGTCAAATAAATAAATAAAATCTTAAAAAAAAACAAAAACAAAAACGAAAACACTCTGGTCCTTACTTAACCTTGCTAAGCAAGTTTCCTCACATAAAATATGAAAACAGTATCTATATCACAGCGAAGTGAACCACACTAAAGTAAACAAGTATAAGCAAAGTCCTTACCTCACCTTACAAAGTTTAACTCCAAGTGGATCACAGACTTAAATCCAAAAGCTAAAACTACAAAACTCTTAAAACACCAGAATGAATCTTCATGACTTTGGGTTAGCTAATGATTTCTTAGATATGACACCAAAAGTGTAATTGGTAAAAACTTGACAAGTCGAACATTATCAAAACTAAAAACTTCTGTTTCAAAGGCCACCCATAAAATGAGAGAAAATATTTGCAAATCATTTAGCTGTTAAAGGACCTGTGCCCAGATTAAACAAACAATCAAACAAAAATAACTCTTAGAACTCAATAATAAAAAGACAAATTGCCCAAAATGGGCAAAGGGAGGTGTCTAGCTGGCTCAGTTGACAGAGCATGCAACTCTTGATCGTGGGCTCCTGAGTTCAAACCCCACAATGGAGAAGAAATTACTTTAAAAAATCAAAATAAGGGACGCCTGGGTGGCTCAGTTGGTTAAGCAGCTGCCTTCGGCTCAGGTCATGATCCCAGCGTCCTGGGATCGAGTCCCACATCGGGCTCCCTGCTCAGCAGAGAGCCTGCTTCTCCCTCTGCCTCTGCCTGCCACTCTGTCTGCCTGTGCTCACTCACTCTCTCTGACAAATAAATAAAATCTTAAAAAAAAAAAAAAGATTTAAAAAAAATCAAAATAAGATGGCGAAGGTTCTGAACAGGCATTTCTTCAAAGAAAAACAAATAAGCATATGAAAGGATATTCAACATCATTAGTCATTAGGGAAATTCAGATCAAACCAGGAGACACCACTTCACACCCCCATCAGGATGACTATAAACAAAAGTACAAGAGCGAGTGCTGTGCAGGATATGTAGAAACTGGCCCCCTCATACAGCTGGTGGGAATGTAAAATGGTGCAGTGACCCTGGAATACCATTTGGCAGTTCTTCCAAACACAGAGTCACCAGGTATGTGACCCAGCAATTCCACTCCTAGAAATGGATATATCCAAGTAACCAAAAATGTATGTTTACACTAAACCCTGTACCAAATTAATAGCATTATTCGAAACAGTCCGGAAGTGGAAACAACCCAAACATCCGTCAACTAATAAATGCATAAACCAAATGTAGGACATCCACACAACGCAGAACTACTCAACCGTAAAAAGCGTTGGTGCACACAACTTGGATGAACCTTTAAGACATTAAGCAGAATCCAAGTATATGAAAATGTCAGGAAGAAGCAAATCTGTAGAGACAAAAAGTTCACAAGTGGTTGCCTAGGGCTGAGGAGCTTTGGGGGAAAATGGGCAGTGTATGCTAATTGGTTCCTGTTTCTTTAGGGGGTGATAAAAATGTTCTAATATTCATGGTGGTGATGGACGCACAACCTGTTAATATACTAAAAACCACTGTATGCTTAAAGGGGTGAACCTTACGATATGCAATTACATCTCAAGGAAGTTATTTTCTAAAAAAAACGAAACGTTGGGGCGCCTGAGTGGCTCATTGGTTTAAAGCCTCTGCCTTCGGCTCGGGTCATGATCCCGGGGTCTTGGGATCGAGCCCCGCGTCGGGCTCTCTGCTCAGCAGCGAGCCTGCTTCCCTTCCTCTCTCTCTCCCTGCCTCTCTGCCTACTTGTGATCTCTGTCAAATAAATAAATAAAAACCTTTAAAAAAAAAAAAAAAGAAAAAGAAACGAAACGCCTAGCCCGATACAATGCCTGATAACTTACAACTGTGTCCGTTCCTAAATAACAACCGGCGGGATTTACCATGATTCCTAAGGACCCTCCCACTTTTGACCCTTCGGAACCCAGAAGGACCAAGCGCTTGGCGTGAGGCTCCTCTCGGCAGGGGAAAGAGCACAGGAGCTCAGGGCTCCCACGGTCCTCACAGTTGCTCCACGGCCGCCCTCCCCGCCAATACCTGCCTGGAGCTCCGCTTACCCAAGGCACAGGCCATGGCGGTACCCACCAGGCCTCCGCCCGACACCACCACATCGTACAGCGTGTCTGCCTTGGCGCCGGACCACCTCCGGCAGGACAGCAGCGGGCCTCTCCCAGCCGCTGCAGGGGCAGCCCTCCAACGGCTCACAGCCAGGCGGGCCGCCATGATGCTGACCTGCAACGTACTTGCGCACCACTAGGCCCTCCTTTTGCTGCTCTTCCGGAACAGAACTCTCCAATCACTAGCTGCTTCCGCCCCGGCCTCAGAGCCGGAAATAGAACGCGCAAAGACTAGGCCAATCAGAAAATGACTCTTGCCAACTTGGGCGGGAAAGATCAGAGGCTTCCTGGGAAGGGGGACTGGCTCAGGCATCCGCCTGGGAGCCAATCAGAGGCCAAAGCCAGAAGGGGGCGGAACCTAATCTTGCAGCTAGTACCGTCCGCGCACTAGCGCGTAGCCGGAGCTGTCACCGCCGCCTCGGTCTCTGCCCCGCGGAGAAGATGACCATCGGGAGGGCTGCAGGAGCCCTCAGTGTAGGCGCTCAGTGGAGCCGTCAGGTGAGGAGAGAAGGAGAGGAATTGAGTCTGCGCCCCGGAAAGGAATCTCTAAGAGAGGAAACCGCTTGACGTTGCCTTGGAGACAGGGGCGTGTCTCAGGGGGGCGTGGGATTAAAATCCGCAGCGTTTGAGGCCCCGCAGGCGGACTCCCGAAGGGGTTGAGCCTTACGTCAGGCCCTTCCTAGAACCACAGCGATTTCCCTTGGTTTTCGCTTATCCTGTCAACTACCCTAGAACTGACTGATAGTCCGATGTTGTCCCCATTTTGTAGAAAAGAAAACTGAGGCATAGAGAGACTAAGATTTGCAATTAGAGGGGCGCCTGGGTGGCTCAGTCAATTAAGCCTCTGCCTTCCGCTCAGGTCATGATCCCAGGGTCTTGGGATGGAGCCTCACTTCGGGCTCCCTGCTCAGCGGGGAGTCTGCTTCTTCCTCTGCCCCTCCCCCAAACTCGTGTGCTCTCTCTCGCGCGCTCTCTCTCTCTCTCTCTCTCTCAAATAAATAAGATCTTAAAAAAAAAATAGAAAAAGAAATTTGCCACGGAATCCATACAGAAAGTAGATTGGTGGTTGCTTAGGGCTGGCAGCGAGGGAAGGGTTGGAAAGACTAAGCAAAATACGGAGTGACTACTAAATAGTATGGGCTTTCTTTCTTTTTTCTTTTTTTTAAAGATTTTATTTATTTATTTGACAGAGATCACAAGCAGGCAGAGAGAGGGGGAGAAGTAGGCTCCCCGCTGAGCAGAGAGCCAGATGCCAGGCTTGATCCCAAGACCCTGAGATCATGACGTGGGCTGAAGGCAGAGGCCTAACCCACTGAGCCACCCAGGGTCCCGCCAGTATGGGCTTTCTTTGGGGTGATTAAAATGCTCTAAAATTGATGGTGGTGATGGTTGCACAGCTTTGTGAATATACTAAAGCCCATTGCATTGTACTCTTTCCGTAAGTGAATTGTTTGAATTGTATGGTGTCTGAATTATATCTGGATAAAGTCATTTTTAAAAAATTTTCCCAAGATCACATGGTCCTCAGTAGCAGCGCAAGGGCTGGAGCACATTCTTTGACTCGGAATCCAGTGTTCTTTTCAGTATTAGAGCTGGACCTTAGAGAATCATCCCCAAGTGTCACCTGGAGGCCTGTAGGAGCCTGTGCTCCATGTGCAAGCAGTCATCTTATCCCGCCCAATCCTGGCCCCACACCTGCTTCTCTAAGGATATCTCATACCACTGTCCTCCGGCCACCCTGGCCCTCCTTTTGCCTCTCCAAGAGCCAAGTTTATTCCTGCTTCAAGGCCTTTGCATTTGCTTTTCCTTGAACCCAGAACCCTCCTACCCCAGCTCTTAGCAAGGCTGGCTCCCTCTCATCAATGAGGTGTTCAGTCGAAAACCCCTCCGCGATGAGAAAGTAAAAGTCAGCCCAAGACCGAGAAACTACGGTGCAGACTGTAACAGACACAGCTAAGGTGAGCCGCCAGATGAGCAGAAAACAGTGTTTCTCACGGGCCACAGCATACCTGCAAAACGATTAAGACCTCCTTCTAAATGATGATGCTTACCTATCAATTACTTACCCAGCCCCACTTTGTTCTAGTTACCGTTGGAATCAAAAGTGCTCACTCGCTCACGGAACCGCGCCCTCTTCAAGACAGCATCCATTCAGAGTGGATACAGAGGGATCCACTCTCCTCCCCAGGATCATTGGGACAAGCCAGCCCCAGGAAAAGCCCTTCCCCCACCCTCTGACTGAAAGCTCCCACCCTATCCCCCCACCCTGCACGTTCCCTTAATTTTTCATGGTGTACTCCATCAAATTAATAAACCTAGCTCTGATTATAGGTACTATTCCCAGTGATTTTTATCTGACGGTCTTTTATCAACAGAACAGCTTCCCAAACCACTTCATCACCACATAATCTCTCAGTTTATGACTTTCATTGACTATATTATCACCTTATATTGTCTGTCTCCCTCTCTCTACAGCACAAGCTTCGTGAATAGGGACCTTGTTTGACTCGTTCTCAGCCTAATGCCCAGTGCACATTAGGCACCAAATAAAGATTTTCTAAAGGAACGGAGTATTGAAATCCACTTTCTAGGACACTGTTCTTTCAGCTAGAACACATTATCTGTCCAGTTAATTATTCATTCCTAGTAAAGGGGTAGATCTTAGGTAGAATAGGAGGAAAGCAGAGGTGCAGACAGGAGGAGCGGGAAAAAGAAGATTGGCAACAAGTAGGTAAAAACCAAATAGGGCAAGGCCCAGAGTGTGGCCAAGGTCTGGGTGGGGTTCCTGGAGTGCAGGGGGCAGAGTGCACGCCGCAGGGCAGGTACTCCGTAACTGCTCACCTGTCTGCTTCTCTTCCCTGCCCTTCAACCAAGCATACCCCATATTCCAATTTGTGAAATTTCTTTAAAGCGAGGAACACATCTTATTTTTCTTCCTTCCCAGTCCCTAGTATACAGAGACTTATTCAAAGTGAAGTTAGCAGTTATGTTTTGAGTAAATTTGAAATGATAGTTGACCCACCATTTATTCTCTTTCACTGTAGGTGTTTCCCCCTAAATCCTCCTCGGACTCGGAGACAGAAGAGGAGCTGTCTGGAGATGGACTGGTTTTGCCCAGGGCTGGCAAACTGGATGACTTCCTCAGCCCAGAGGACTTGACACTTTCGGATTCCGACTCAACTGGGAGCTTTTCCGAGACCCTGGAGGTACTAAAGCAGAAAGGCAGGTGGTGCCTGTTGGAATCCCTTTTTCAGTCTGACCCAGACAGTGGTGAGAACTTCTCCGAAGATGAGGAGGACCTGGAGAGTTTCTTCCAAGACAAAGGCAGGGGGAAGCCACAGGTCCAGGACCCACTGTCTCCGAGGTAAGGCACTTCATGCCCAACTCTGGCCAAGTCCCTTGTGACTCTGGGCCTCATCCTCTTCCTCAGTAAAGACCATTCTGCAAGTTGTCCCTTACCCAGGCTCCAGCTTAGAATCAGCCTTCGGAGCCAAACGTGTTCTGATTCCTATCTAGCCGTCCTAAATCACTTTGGGTTACCCTTAGTCACTCGAAGCACTGGGATTGATTAAAGGGATGCCCTTCTCACTCCCGAGAATAGCAACGAGGTACATTGACGTTGGCCAAGCCCTTCTATATGCGTGTACGCTGCATTTATATAATATTTAATATTTATTTTCTCTTCCCACTAACCCTGTAAGTAGATACTATTTTTGCCATTCTCCAGATGAGGAAATCGAGGTTCCAAGCAAACACTGCTAAAGGTCACATGGCTGGTAATTGTTTGAAGCAAGATTTGAACCTGGGTCTGAGTCTAAAGCCGGGCTCTGTACCACTGCACTGTTCTCCTGCCCATACGAAAATATCAGAATGCAGGGTGCCTCGCTGGCTCAGTCAGTGGAGCGTGCAGCTCTTGATCTCAGGGATGTGAGTTCGAGCCCCGCAGTGGGTGTGGAGATTACTTTAAAAAAAATCTTTACAAGGAAAAAAAAAAACAACAAAAAAACAGAAAATATTAGAATGCAAAGTGGTAATTCGTGAATCAGTTGTGAGAAAAGACTTCCTAATGGGCTGCTAGAAGGCCTGACGGAAAGGAGGGAGGCCCAGTCCAGAGAGGCACAGGCTCAGAGGCCTGTGGGGCCAGGATGTCAGGCTGAGAAGCCAGCTGCCACCTCCTGGGAGGGAGGACAGGGACGAGCAGGAGGAGGGGCCAGCCTCCCGTCTGCCACAGTCCTCCACGTGTCCTCCATGTGTCCCCCAGTGCAGCTGCTTTCTCCCTCTAGGTGCAGCTCCACGAGGCGCTGCAGCTCCCTGAGCAGCCTTCCCTCCGACGATCCCAAGAGTCAGCCCCAGCCACCCCCAGGCTCCAGGCCCCCCTCGCAGCACAGAAGCATCAGCTCCTGGGTGTCTTCCATCACGGTCCCCCGGCCGTTCCGCATGACACTGCGTGAGGCCCAGAAGAAGGCCCAGTGGCTGGCCTCCCCTGCCTCCTTTGAGCAGGAGAGGAAGCAGGCCCAGCGGCAGGGGCAGGAGGAGGCCGAGTGCCACCGGCAGTTCCGGGCGCAGCCGGTGCCCGCGCACGTCTACCTGCCCCTCTACCAGGAGATCACGGAGCGCAACGAGGCCCGCAGGCAGGCAGGGATCCAGAAGAGGAAGGAACTGCTCCTCTCCTCCTTGAAGCCCTTCAGCTTCCTAGCGAAGGAGGAGCAGAGGAAGGAAGCCGCTAAACAGAGGGAGCTGGCCGCCACAGCCAAGGCCAAGGTCCCCAAGCAGAAGGCCACCAGAAGGATTCCCAAGTCTATTCTGGAGCCAGCCCTCGGGGACAAACTCCAAGGTAAAGACCTCCTTCCCACCATGCTGCCTGCTGCCTGGGGCTGCCAAGGGGTGCTGGGGGTACTTAGGCTTGGGGGTCAGCCTGGCTGGGAGATGAACTCATTGCTCTGGAGGCCCGGCCTCCAGGCCACACTCAGGGCAGGCCACGGGCTGGCTCTGTCTGTGTCGTGGGGGAGCCCTGGCAGGAGCGAGTGTGAGAGGTGGCCTGGCATGCCCTAGGTTGGTCCTGTAGCTGCTGTCGGGACACGAACGCATCGGCAGGACCAGTGAGACACCCAAGGGCCAGCTTAGGCCGGTGCCGCCACCAGCTGCTCCCGAGGGAAGCTCCCACACCACCTCATTTCAAGAAATGGGGTTCGGTGAAAGGACTCAGGCTTTATTCATTCAGTAACATGCCAAGCTCCAGGCACTACTGTGTGTGGAATAGACAGACTTGGAGTTGGTGTGCACGCGAGGAAGCCAGATACCAGGTAACAGAACTCACGGATGTGGTGAGTGGTTTACAAGGTTTAAAGCCTCCCCCCTCACGGAGCACAGGACACAGGGACCTCATTTCAGATGTGGTGAGGCGGTGGGAGCAGCCAGCGAAGGTCCCGGGGAAAGAGAGCACTGAGGCAACCCCTGAAGGAAGGGAAGAGGGAGGAAGAGTGAGGAAGAGTGAACCAGAGAGAACAGGGCAGAGGTCAGAAGAAGCAGAACACAGTCACAGGACAGGGGAGAGAAGCAGGAGTGGGGAGGGAGAGGCAGGCCCCGGGCAGACCTGGGGGCTTGTAGGCGGTGGGAGAAGGTTGGATTTCCTCCCAAGGGCACTGGGGAACCCCTCAAGGGCTTTAAGGAGGGGCTTGGGATCAGATCCGCAGCCCAGGAAGACCACTCAGATGCGGTGGTGGAGATGGTTAAGGGGGGAGGAACAGGCCCGGAGGGTGTTGGTCTACAGGACCCCGTGTGGACAGTTCAGTGGAGAGATTGTGAAATGAGCAGCAGGGACGGTGAGGAGAGGCCAGGCTGGAGCATGGTTAAAGAGCAGAGACCGCAGAACTTGGGACTGACCAGAGACAGCAGGCGAGAGTGATTTGGGCAACAGCGTGGGCCTCTGGGTGGATAGCGGGTACTTGCCCTGAGTCTGGGGGACCTGGGAGAGGGGGGTGACCGGCCCGCCTCGCCAGCTCCACCTCTGAAGAAGGAACCACAGAAAGCAGTCGGTACCCGTGGTGTCCGTGGTGGCTGCCTCTGCGGCCTGCTGGTACCTGGCAGCCGTGTTCTGGCCAACGTTTATGAACGAACTCTCCAGAAAAGACAAAGCAAGCCGATTTGTAGTGTTTGCCATTGTCCGTCGTGTAAGCACAGCTCTCCTGGCCGACAGGGAGCGTCCCGTATGGAGTCAGCTGCTGCCCGAAATTCCTGTGGAAGCTGTCGGTCGGCTCCGGCACCCTCCGCTAGGGCTTCACAGGGAATATTCTCCAAGCACAGGCAGATCTCCTCTCACCCATCACCACCCTGACTTCTTCTCCACAGAAGCGGAACTCTTCAGGAAAATTCGCATCCAGATGAGAGCCCTAGACATGCTCCAGAAGGCCGCCTCCCCTATCGCCCCCTCCGGCGGCCGGGCGAGCCCACAGCCGCGCGCAGCTACCCGAACCCAGAAGGAAAAGCTTGCGTTTCTGCACATGGACTTTGGATTCCAGCCTCGTGTGAATCCTGCCGTCCCTGACTACGAAGGCCTTTACAAGGCCTTCCAGAGAAGAGCTGCCAAGAGAAGGGACACCAGAGAGGGGACTCGCAACAAGCCCTTCTTGCTGAGGACTGACAGCCTGCGTCGCACTCCGCGGTCCTGTGATGCCACCACATCTGGAGGGAGAAGGGTGAGAGCCCAGGCAGCTGCAGGAGGGTCGGGGCCTGGGACCCAGCACACGGGCCAGTCTCGATGGGAGGCACTTCTCATGACATTTTCCTGTCTTTTTTTAAAAAAACACTGGCTCAGGGGTGCCTAGGTGGCTCAGTCAGTTAAGGAACTGCCTTTGGCTCAGGTCATGGTCCCGGGGTCGTGGAATCGAGTCCCGCATCGGGCTCCCTGCTCAACAGGGAGTCTGTTTCTCTCTCTGCCTGCTGCTCCCCCTGCTTGAGCATGTGTGCAAGCGCGCTCTCCCTCTCTCTGATAAATCAATCAATCTTGAAAAATAAACTTAAAAAATTAAAAAGAAACACTGGCTCCTTATAAAAGACTGATGAATCATTGACCTCTACCCCTGATACTAATAATACATTATATGTTAATCAATAGAATTTTAATTTTTAAAAACTTAAAAAAAATAAAATTAAAATAAAAACACTGGCTCCGCTGTAAGCTCCACAGTTCCTATAAACTTAGAACCATAATAATACTTCCTTTCCTTGCCTTCCGAGAGGGAACTTTTCTAGAGAAATTTTGCAGAAATAAGTCCAAGCAAGTCTAGAAAGTAGGGAGTTGGGATCAATTGCTCACAACCCTATATCAATCATAAAGAACTCTTCCCATCTGATTTTTTTTCAAATATTTTATCCATTTATCTGACAGAGATCACAAGGAGGCAGAGAAGCAGGAGGTGGTGGGGGGGGGGAAGCAGGCTCCCTGCTGAGCAGAGAGCCTGATATGGGGCTCGATCCCAGGACCCTGGGATCATGCCCGGAGCTGAAGGCAGAGGCTTTAACCCACTGAGCTACCCAGGTGCCCCACTTCTCATCTGATCTTAAAACTTTAGGATTGATATCCAACTCTAGGCCTAGTAATAAACTCATTACTCTTTCCATAATCCCAGGGTGGGGAAAAGGATTCTCGGTCTGACTAGTCCTTCACTGAAAATGAATCATAGTTAGAATAGAAACTCATCACACATTGCTGTCCCATCAATACCAACCTTTGTTTCTTCTAGGACTCTCCACAGCCACCAGCCACACCCCTGCCAAGGAGCCATTCTCTGAGTGGCCTTGCTTCCCTCTCTGCCAACACCCTCCCTGTGCACATCACAGACGCCACCAGGAAGAGGGAATCTGCGGTCAGGTGAGTGGTTGAGCCCAAGACCTTGGCCTAGGATGGAGATCAATGGTCAGAGCTTGGATCTTGACCCCAGTGCTAGAAACCATCCTGCTGCTGGGCCTCCTCTCCGGTTATCGGAGAGACCTATGGGGTGGAAGAGAACGCTGATCTGGACAGGAATACACGTCACCCTCCACACGCAGTGCTGGAGAACACCCGGCCATCACTCAGCAGGTACTCACAGGGAACTTACTCTGTGCCAGTTACAATGTTAAGGCTGGAAATGCCTTATGGAACCTCTAGTTTATTTATTTATTTATTTATTTTTTAAAGATTTTATTTGTTTATTTGACAGAGATAGATCACAAGTAGGCAGAGAGAGAGAGAGGGAAGCAGGCTCCCTGCTGAGCTGAGAGCCCGATGCGGGACTCGATCCCAGGACCCTGAGATCATGACCTGAGCCGAAGGCAGAGGCTTAACCCACTGAGCCACCCAGGTGCCCGGAACCTCTAGTTTAGTATACCTAGTATGAAATACAGAAAAGCAAAGTTGTTACCATATTTTGTAAGAAATGCATTGGTGGGGGAAACACAGGGAAACTTGGGAGCACTGGATAGCCTGGGGCAGGGGTCTCTTTAATCTCTGAAGAATGAGGAATTAGCCAAAGGCTGGAAAGAAGGTTCCAGAGAGAACAACATGGGTGAAGACCCACAGATGAAAGAGGGAGCCGTTAGGAACAGGAATTCAGAGAAGCGTGATGGCAGGTGGTGGACCTGGTCACAAAGAGAAGGCATCTACCACGCAGCTTTAACTGTCTGAGGTTCATCTTTGGGGAATTATCAGAAGTTGGTTGGGAAGCAGGAGCCTCCTTACTTTTTAATTCTTTAACTGACCTGACTCTGTCGTAGTATTGCTCTCATCAGACCAGCACCCTGGCAAGAGTTCCTCTGCTAGACGTCTGAGCTGAAGTTGGCAGGCAAGGTCATGGCAATAATGCGCACAAGGCTGAGCTCCGGGAGAGGACTGGCATCTTAGTGCTTTCCTGTGGGGCTCAGAGAGGAGCACTCGGGACCTACTTGGCTCTTTAGGACACGCAACAGTGATCTTAGAAATGTATTTAGGGGGCGCCTGGGTGGCTCAGTGGGTTAAGCCTCTGCCTTCGGCTCAGGTCATGATCTCAGGGTCCTGGGATCAAGCCCCACATCAGGTTCTCTGCTTGGCGGGGAGCCTGCTTCTCCCTCTCTCTCTGCCTGCCTCTCTGCCTGCTTGTGATCTCTGTCAAATAAATAAATAAAATCTTTAAAAAAAAGAAAGAAAGAAATGTATTTAGAATCCAAGGGATACTCCCTTCTTCCTCAGATTTCTTAGGGCTACTGAGTGAAGGCTACGTGCATCAGTATCCTGAGGCCCCAGTAAGATAAGCCTTATGAACGGGAAGCTCGCACCCCTAGGGGATGTCTGTATTTACTTCCCAGCAACAGGGAGTTTGATACCATGGCAGACTCAACTTTCATGCCTTCCTTCCTAATCTGTTCATTTGAATGTAAATATCCAAATGCAAGAGTCTTGACTGTTTTTTCTTTTGGTAGAACTCTCCATAGCACCTTGTCAAATGATACTTACACAAACTAAGTGCTGTAAATTAACCCCAAACTGCAGGGAAAGAGGCCTGTTTTCAGTTCTCTGTGAAAATGCAGATTTGTATTCCCAAGGGCTCGTGAATCCAGGCACCTTCGAGCACAGTGGTCAAGGGCAGAGGCTTGGGAGTCGGACATCCTGGTTCAGATCTTGGCTTCTCCACTGGCTTGCTGGGTGGGTTTGAGGAAGTGGCTTACCCTTTCTGAACCTCGATCTCCTAGCCTATAAAAAGAGGGGCTTATAGTTCTCACCTCATAGGGCAGTTAGGAAGATAATGGATATAAAGCACTTGATTCCTTTCTCCACTCGGTTCAGAGTAGAGAGCTCAGCAAACGGCAGCTCTCAGGATCATCTCATTTCCAGACAGGCCAGAAGCATGAGTACAAGGATATTTTAACTCATATGTTTTTTCAGTTCAGTTAATGAACTTCTCCTGGGGCAGAAGATTACTGTGTCCGTAGTGCTGGGAAGGCTTCATCTGCCCATCTCAGAATCTTATTCTTTCTGAAATGCCCTTCATAGAAAACACCATTTTCCTTTCCAGAGAGGTTACTAAGATTGCTTTCAGATATACTCAAGTTGGTCATCTGTATGGTTTTTGCCTCCTCTCTTTAGAAGTTCACTTGAAAAAAAGGACAAAGCAGATGGGAGTACTCAGTGGTTGGAGATGCACAAAAAGAAGTGTCAAGCGATGTCTAAATCCGTGACCTTGCGCGCCAAAGCCATGGATCCCCATCAAAGCCTGGAGGAAGTGTTCAAAGCAAAGCTGAAAGAGAATCGGTCAGTGTCCTCCGTGTGTCAAATGGTGCCTGTCTTGGGATCCAGTAGATCATGAGCCTTGAAAAATGGCAAAAGGAGTTTTTAGACTCCTATAATCGCACACAGTCAAGGATTTTGCTAGGCACAGTTGGGAATTTACAATGACCTTGGGAATTACTCTGCGTAATTGGAGTGAAGGCTATTCCAGATTGGAAAAAGAGAATTCATTCTAAGAACCTTGTTAATTCCAGGAACAATGACCGTAAAAGAGCAAAAGAGTATAAGAAAGAATTGGAAGAAATGAAGAAGAGAATACAGACAAGGCCCTACCTCTTTGAACAAGTTAGCAAGGTAAAACTAAACCATCATTCATTTTCTTTCAGTTTTGGATGAAAGGGCTCTTGAAAATGATGGAACAGTTTTTTTGTTTCTTTTTAAAGACTGTATTTATCAGAAAGAGTGAGAGAGAGAAAGAGACAAGGGAGAGCACAAGTGGGGGCGGGGTTAGAGGGAAAGGGAGAAGCAGGCTCCCCTCTGAGCAGGGAGACTGATGCGGGACTCGATCCCAGGATCTCATGACCTGAGCCAAAGGCAAATACTTAAATAACTGAGCTACCCAGGCATCCCCATGATGGAACAGTTTAATATCTGGGTATTAATTTCCTTGGGCTCAGGAAGATTCTAAATTAGGCCTGTTATTAACTACCATCCCCCTCCCCTCCCAAGTACATAGTGCAGTGGTGAATGCTGCTTGGGACTGATTTCATCCAAGACAGGACTCCAGAGGCATCTATAAAGGATTTCACTTCCTGGAGTGTTTGCTGCGGTCTGGCTTTCAGTTTGAATCACGGTGAGGGCTAAATCCCACATACCCAGTGACAGTTTGGCTGTGTCAGTGAGACGATCTTTAACTTGCTAACAGCATCGCTCCCCCTGCAGTGCTGCTACCCTGGGCATCCCCAGCCTCCAGAGCTGTGGCCCATTTATGGGTCTCCAGACATTGGTATGCTCACCAGCACCCCAGAAAGTCCTTTTCAGATTAAGTGGCTTTCAGGATAGAAGAATCATTTTAAGGTGTTCTCTAGACCTTTAGGGAAGTTGCACCCAGTTGAGATCTGGTCTCCCTAAGGAGGCTCTGGAGTGTCTGAAGCTGGTTCGGATGAACGGCCTCAGAAAGGCCGCCATCCCCGGGGATTTGGGGTTCTATCAGGCTCTGCAGATCCCTCTTCTCTCCAGTTTCAGATAAAAGTTGGGGTTTCCTAGTGACCTGATTCCAGCAGCTGGACATCATCTCCCATCTTACAGCCAGTGTGTTATCTTATCTAGGCATTTCCCGGGTACACTCCTCCCCCCACCATATATACCACACACAGACTCATACACGCTGGATGGTCTTGGGTTTACTTAGCAACTAGCATTGCTCAAATCTCTCATAATGCCCTTTCCTCTTTATGTTAATTTTTTTCAAGCAAAGCTCACCCTCAGATCACAACAGATCTATCCTGTTAAGAGTGTTTTGTTAGGGGCCCCCAGGTGGCTCAGTGGGTTAAAGCCTCTGCCTTCAGCTCAGGTCATGATCTCAGGGTCCTCGGATCAAGCCCCGCATCGGGCTCCCTGCTCAGTGGGATGCTGGCTTCCCCCACTCTCTCTGCCTACTTGTGATCTCTCTTTGTCAAATAAAATCTTTTTTTTTTTTTTGAAGAGTGTTTTGTTACATTTTAGTGGGTTTTTCTTTTTACATGTATATTTTAGTGTTGATGATTTTTTATTTTTTTTTAGTTTATTTACTCTAATCAGAGAGAGAGCACGAGCGGGAGGGGCAGAGGGAGAGAGAATCTCAAGTAGACTCTGCACTGAGTGTGAAGCCGGACTCGAGGCTCAGTCCCAGGACCCTGAGACCATGACCTTGAGCCAGAACCAAGAGTTGGACACTTAACAAACTACACCACCCAGGCACCCCTGGTTGTTTTCAAATCTTAAAATGTTTTTAAGTCCATGTTTTCATCTGAGTCTCACTTGATCTTCCAAAAATCTAAATCTTTTCTTCTCAAAGGTGGGTCCCAAATCAATTGTTGGCATCTGCTGGGAGTATAGATATACAGAACTGTCAGCCTTATCTGAGACCTACCCAATGAGAATTTACATTAATAACAAGACCTTCAGGTAGTTCCTGTGCACTTTTTTTTTTTTTTTAAGATTTTATTTATTTATTTGACAGAGAGAGTGAGCACAGGCAGATAGAGTGGCAGGCAGAGGCAGAGGGAGAAGCAGGCTCCCTGCTGAGCAAGGAGCCCGATGTGGGACTCGATCCCAGGAGGCTGGGATCATGACCTGAGCCGAAGGCAGCTGCTTAACCAACTGAGCCACCCAGGCATCCCTCCTGTGCACTTTTAAGGCTAGAAAAAGCTCTAAGAAATTTTCATGCACATTGGTGCCCAGCATTAATGGGGGGTTGGGGTAGGGGGCAATTATAGGCATACGGATTAAGCAAGTGATTTCGAATTACCTGATAATTCACAAGACAGCTACAGCAGATTAATTTCCATTCCACAGGACCTTGCCAGAAAAGCTGCAGAACAACGGTATCGAGACACCCTGAAGCAGGCTGGGCTCGATGAAGACTTTGTGAGGAGCAAGGGTCAGGGCAGCCGGGATGAACAGCAGCGGGGGCAGTCAGAAAGCAGTGATTGTCCCAGGTAATCTCAGATCCTCCTTGTTATCCGCAGCTCTTGAACCGCCATCCCTCCCGATGCCACCACTCGTGTGTTTTGAGATCACAATCCTGTATATATGGAATACTAACCCAGAGATCCCCACATAACACATTTAAATTGGGAGAATAGTGCAGTTGTGAATAAAATATAACCATTGTATATGGGCTGTAGATTCCTTCAATTTGAAACAGATCATTTGTCCAATTCTACTTCCAGGGCCATTAGTCAAAAATATCTCCACTTTACTTTTGAGGAACAAACGTTATGTGTGTCTGTGGGTGTAAAGGTGCCCCAATGTGTATTTTTACTTACTATAAAATGATAAAACTATTTTCCTAGCACTTTTTATTTTGTTTGGATAACTGAAGGTAAAAACCTGTATTGAGCCACAATAAAAGCTATACTGTCCTGAACAATCAAAGCCTTTCTTTTCCCCTCAGCATGGTCATCGTGGCTTGTTAAAAATCTAGCACTCATTAAAGAAGTAATTCATTAAAAAAAAAAAAGTAATTCATTAGTAGCACCCCTCCTTTGGTATCATATAAGTGAAGGGGAGAAAAGCATACTATCACCATTATTCTCAACTTTGTTTTGTTTCTTAAATCCTAATGGCCCCTCCCTTAATTCCTATCCCAGTTTCCCCCCTAGAAATTTCCCTTTACACCCCATATAAAATAATGAACATGTTGAAAACATCCTTCAGCCTTACATAATGCTTTTAATTAAAAACATTTTATTTCATAATGCTTTAATTTCTTCTGTAGCACCCATGAAACTACAAAACTCAGCACCAGAAATCCACAGCAGGATTTAGAAGAATCTCTACAAGAGCCTACAAGCCCCAAGAAAGAACTGGAAGAGCTGTCTTATGAACTACTAGATAATTGCAAATCACTTGCTTAATCAGTAACACTTAAAATTACTGCTTTTCAATATTAACCAGCTAACTTGGGGGTTGAGTCAAGGCAGGAAAACTTGGCTTCTGAGTCAATGGCTACTCTTGGAGGATGGGGAAAAGAGAAATAGCAGGGGGGAAAAGCAGGTAACAAACAGGGAATGAATGGTTTAAGTAGATCAAAGTAAAAAACCTCAGGGCAGAGGACCAGAGCTGAGTTAAGCATTCTTGATTTGTGCCTCCTACTTTAAAAAAAGGGCACAAGCCCAAATGCCTACAAGGGGCTAGTTAGGAAACCAATGGATCACATGCGCTAGGTATGAAATAGTAGGAGTCAGTAGAGACCAGAGTCTCTGCTAGAACACAGGCCCAGAATTGCCAGATCAACCCAGTTTCAACAGAAGCCAGAAATTTGCATGTTGACAACTAATTTAAAAATTACTTAGAAATATTGCGTGGAGGTAACAAAACAACTGCAGGATGACACGCTTGCAACTTTTGCTACAGGGTCTCTCAACCTCAGTACTATTGGCATTTTGCGCCAGAGGAGTCTGTGTTGGGCGTTGGGCGGTGGGAGAGGGCGCTGTCCTTACACTGTAGAATGTTTAGCAGCATCCTGGGCTCCTACTCACAAGATGCCAGTAACTCCCTCTCCCCTAGTTGTGACGAACAAAAATGTCTAGTCTAGATATTGCCACATGTGGGGGCAGGCAAAAATACTCCCAGTTAAGAACCATGCTATAGTATAAAAGTAAGGCTACAGGAAGTAAAAACTGGTAATTTAAGAATACAGGAAATTGACATGAACTCAATCTACGTAACAAAGGATGATTATGCATGTCATTAACAAATTAAGAACTATATTTATTTATTACAGCAGTTAATTCTGTCCTGTTATTTGCTTAGAATATGCCACTGTGTGCATGGTATGGAAGTGTCAGCATGAGGTTCATTTTAAATAAATGTGAAAATTCTCTGACAGCCATGATTTTCGATCAGTTAGTGATCTCTGGAACACTCTTCTCACCAATGATTGATTAGATATTCTCTATCAGCTGTAGAGACAGGATGATAGCAAGAGTGCCTACTCGTAAAAGAAGCACATTTCTCATGTTTTTGTTTTTGTTTAGCTTTCTGGAAAAATTCAGAAGTATCTGTTGTTATTGCCATTTTTCTAGACTCAGACATGGCCCCTTCTGGTGACGACAGAGCGGTACTATGATAACTACTACCTAGGTTTTCTAGTTAGAGAGGAAGCTGCTCGTGTCCCGTTCCCCAAGACTCCTGGGCTCAGTTTTTCCTGCATGGAATCCAAAGGGACAATCAGTGCCCTCTCTTAAAGGGAAAGCCTGAACTATTTTCTTAATCTCCTAAGAAAATAGGTTTTGTCCAAAACAAGGAACCAAAGAACTGACTGGGCTCTCTTGTTTATTTAAAGGGAAAACAACTGAAGCTGTGAATCATGTGGTATTTAACTTAAAAAAAAAAAAACCAAAAAACAAAAAACCTTCAACATGCTACTGTATATTCCATAAACAAAGCAAAGTGACCAAGTAAGTGGATATGACAAGATAGTACCTCAGCCCGGGCCAGGTAGGGATTCAAGTAATTTATTTTTTTGCAGCCCAGGGGCAGAGAGTCTCTTACTCAGGTTGCTAAAGGGAGAATGCCACAGCAGAACTGACATCCCTCCCTTCTCGAAAGCAACAAGGCATCTTGAAAGCTCAACTTCTTGGTGAAGTTTTGTGGTTGGTGGCAGGACTTAGTTCATCCATATGAAAAGACAGCTGAGCCTGGGATGTAAATTCTTCAAAGGAAAATCCCCTTCTAAGAGTCATACCGAAGAAATTTCAGCCAACACATAATCAAATTCCCTTTTGGGAGAAGTCCATCCCAAAATTTCATAGTGGGAAGAGAGGTAGGTACAGTTACCCAGCCCACATTCACTGCTTTCGTCCTTGTCTGGATCAGATGTGGTTTGAAAAGAAGCGCTCCCACACTCATCATCTCTGTCCGGGAAGGTGAACAGAGGCAGAAGCGGGGTCCTGTCCTTCACAGATTCATTCAGTTCTAGCAGACCACGAGCCAGAAGCATCCTGTTCCCACTATGTGCACTCTGGGATCAGACAGAGCTCCTCTTCCAGGAGTCGGTGTCCATGCTCATGTCCGGCTTTCAGTTAATTCTCCTTGGTTTAGTAACTGTAAAAGATTAAAACCAAATCTGGAATAGGCTACCAATGACTAATGGGAAAAAGAATTCGTACTACAGAAAAGGTGGGGAGGGGGGAAATGCACAGCTGGGGTGAGTCAAGGCTGTCTAGCTCCAAAGCAAGAGACACATGTAGACTGAGAGATCTCCTTCACGTCCTGGCCTTGGGACAGCGTTTGGCCACTTCATGATGCTGGCATTTCCACTATGGCAATAAAAGATCCTGAGTCCATAAGCCAAACTATTGTTTGTGTGGTCACGTCCTTGCTCGTCTGTGCTGGAGGCATCCATACTTACAGATTCATCATTCATCAGAAATGGTGGAACTAAAAATCTTACGTCAATCAGTGTTAGTCCAAAGTACAGGCAGAATGCTCGCTCGAGCAGAAGTAAGAGGAATGGGAAGCTGTTCCCAATGAGTTCCATACAAGAGCTAGAACATACACTTGTAAGGAATCCAGGGATTCCGAGGGCTTAAAAAGATACCTCTGGAGTCTCAAGAGGGCGGCAGCTAAAACAGACTTTCTACTCTACACCCAAGGCTTTCTGTTGAAAGGTGATTCTGTGCAATAATTGATAAACTTCGGTTCCATTTTATTATGAGAAAGATGAGAATAACACAGTGAAATTCAGAGTAACAATTTGGCTTAGTAAAATATATCCAGATAAATTCCTGTGATGATGATAGATTTACTTGATGATCTCAATTTGGATGAAGGTTATTTATACAGTAGAATTTAATAAGACAGAACACAAAGAAATTTAAACAAAATTTAAAGAAAAGTTTAAAAATTTAAAGAAACCAAGAATTTCATGTGATGCTGTGTGGTAGGGATGTATGTATGAATGATGTCGTTTTAATCTACACCAAGACCCAGGTGCTCACACTCAAATTTAGTAATGGCACTTTATGAAAAATCTTAAAGAATTTGTCATTTGTTTTCATCTTTTGGGGGGACAAATTCTGATATATTCAAGCCTAGCTGACAATCATTTACACTGCCTCCTGAGTTCAAGAATGTCAGCACAGTGTGACTACAGAACCCCATTTGGGATGCCTTTTAGTCAGCAGAGGTCTGAAAGCCCTGGGGTCCCAATTAGGCTGGCACAGTAAGTTCTCTGATTTGCAGGAAACTGGGTAACACTGAAGGGAAAATAAAAATTGTCTAATCTGAACCACCTGAATAAGATGTAGTTTTGATATATTTCCCATGATATTTTTTTAAGAGGATAAGGCTTTTTAAAAAAATCATTATTTATTTATTTTTAAGCAATCTCCACACCCAATATAGGGCTCAGACTCACCACCCCGAGATCAAGAGTCCCATACTCTGCCGACCTAAGCCAACAAGGTGCCCTCCCATGATAAATTCTGATGCTTGCTTTGGTTATTCTCTGATATTCTTGATAAGCTTATTTTTAGAGCATATTTACAGGAGTCCAAGTATAAGAGCATCATTAATTCTTTCAGGTCGGATCTACAATGTGTGATTATCTCCAAAGCCAGAGTTTGAAATGGACATGTGTTAGTTTAGACTGCAAACAGCCGGGATGTCTGGGTGGCTCAGTCAGTTAAGCATCTGACTCTTGGTTTCGGCTCAGGTCATGATCTCGGGGTTCTAAGACTGAACCCATTCAAACTCAGGTAAATCTGCTTAAGACCCTCTCTCACTTTGCCCCTCCGCCCTGCTCTCTCTCTGACTCTCAAAAAAAAAAAAAAAAAAAAAAAAAATCTTAAAAAAAAAAAAAAAAAGGATTGAAATAGCCTTCTTCTATCTGCGAATCCTTGAAGAATCCGCATTCCTCAGTCACTGGAGGGAGGTCAGTTAGTACCAGGAGCTTAGATGGGGAAGAGGACTAAACCTGGAGTCTTGAGGAGCTGGTAGGTTAAAAAAATGAAGGTATCAGAGGATGTGGTCAGCTTGCCATGATAAGGAAAAGGAGGGATGATCAGTGGGAATGCCTGTGGTAAGAGAAAAGTAATAGAGGTAACAGTGAAGGAAACAGAAGTGAGGTTCGGACAGAAGGTGAGTTTGTAAATATGTAATGACCCATGCGGGAAAAGTAATCATCCAGGACTTTCAGTACACTAAGGGCAGCACTTTCTTCTTTGTACTGTTAATATTTTTCTTTTTTTTTAAAGATTTTATTTCTTTATTTGACAGAGTATGATCACAAGTAGGCAGAGAGGCAGGCAGAGAGAGAGAGGAGGAAGCAGGCTCCCTGCCCAGCAGAGAGCCCAATGCTTTAACCCACTGAGCCACCCAGGCGCCCCTGTACTGTTAATATTTTTCTAAGAAGTGTCTGGGGCTTCCATCATGAAATTGGGTGCTTAGGGCCTGTACACCTTTAGTGTCCTCCTGGATGAAGGCCGAGTTTTGTTTTTTATAGGTGGTCCATGGTACCGTGTCCGTCTGAGGCTGTGAGTGAGCATCACCCAGACAAGGACACTCTGAAGCCAATTCCAAGACCCACGTGCCTAGGTCCAAAGGGAACAAATGTGCTGTTACTGGACTCCGCACGCACAAATCAGACCATGTCAGACCTGGCTGAAAACCTTCCAGTGGCTCCCCACTGTCCCAGGATAAAATCATGTCCTTGAAGTGAGGCCTTCAACAGAGAAACCAGCTTCTCTTCCCTGCTCCCACTCTCCATTCCACCTTCCATCCTCCTCAACCCTTTGTGGTTCCACAGTTGAGCCCGGCTCCCACACCTTCTGCGCTGTACACCTTGCTACCTTTATGCCTGTTACTTTCTTCCAGTCCCTTCCACTTCTCCGTCAAGATAACAGCTCTTCATCCCTCAGGCCTCAACTTAAACTCTGAAACTTACTTGCTGATGTCCCCCAAGACTAGTACTTACTACACTGTATAAAAATTGCCTGTTTATTGATCTGTCCCCCTTCCCATTCTCTCTTACCATGTAACTCAGGGGGCACAATTTTGTACAGTTATAAAAGGCAGAGGTTCGAAGTCTGACTCTAAGCTCTTTGAGGCAGAAACTGTACCTTGTTTACTATTGTTCAGTACCCAACAGAGGGTCTTGCACACATTAGGTACATAGTATCTGTTGACTAAGTTTTTATACATCTGGCATTTATCTAAGGAAACCTGAAATGCTTCAGTTAAAAAAAAAAAAAAAA